TTGCATAGGAGGGTTTAGGCTTTTTTTTTTTTTTTTTTGGTTTGGGCCATTTGTTCTCTTTTGATAGATTGTCAATCACAATGCGGTGTTTCATAGGAAGTATGTTAGAGAAACGTTGAACAAAATGTATCATTTGACAAAGGTTGAGTCATATATAAACTCATCACAACTCTTTGGTACGAGTGTACAACTTCTTCCATATGAATATAACGTTCATGGAAATAATCGTAATCATATTCCAACATTCTTATACACCCAAATCGGAAGAATAATTGAAAGAAATTAGAGATCTTGGAAGAGCAAGAGAGAGTAATCAGTAATTAGAGATGAATAAATTTTCAATTCAATCAAATACCAAACAGATTCTAAGTTCCAAATAACGATACATATCACTGTTTGAAAAATATCTTGAAATCTCAATTGAACTTTCATTTATTTTTTTCATTACAAAGCGGTATTTTGAAGTCAAAACATAGTAGGTCGAAGAAAAAAATCCTAACCAATCCAGTTTCAAAGTTGAGCCTTCTAGTAGAGGCAGGTGTGCCACAGTCAGTTTGACAACTACATAGCTAGAAACTTGTATCGACGAGTCAAGTCAAATATTTGCACCACAAAAGTTATTTGTTTCTTAATTTCAAACTATAGGAGGAGTACGTAGTCAAGTCTTCTCAGCATCCAGTGTTGCTTCCACTATAAGAATCTCTCTACTCTATGGTTTTACATTTGAGATGCTGAAAATCTTGCATATTTCAAAGTAACAAGTCGCAAGCAGAACAATTCAGTCAATTTGTTAAAAAAATAAAATAAAAATTATGGAAAATGCAGAGAACGTGACTGACGTTTACGTGCAAAAATTTCGCCAGAAATACATGCATGCAATATGCAGCAAACACGTTGGATTGGTTATAGGCTTTTTAGCCCACTACATAGTAAAGGAAGGAAGATTCGAGCTTCTCTACATGCTATTTGAATTTCTGTATTTTCATTGGTGCTCAACTTTTTGTAATCATATATACATGCATTAGAATTAAATCCAAAACTTCTTACTTGCAATTGAAGAAGAATATCACTAGATCGTAATATAAGGTAGCAAAACAAAAACATCACTTTAGTTAAAACATGCTGGATATGAAACAAGTATAGACGAAACATAATCGAAAGAATAGGAAATTCAAGCGGCTCTTTCTTTTTTTTTTTCTTTTTTTTTAAATTCTCAAGAGAGGGGACGGTTCGAAACCATTACAATAATTTAGGGGATGAGAGTTTTGAACCTGGATGCATGGGGGCAGAAACTCAACACCTTATCCACTAGGATATTGGACCACATGCTCAAGCGGCTCTTTCATCGACACACCAATTCGTCCATACAAACAAATCACCAAATGGGCAAACCTAGGGTTAGCCAAGTTGGTGAGAACCACTTACTTCCCTCTTTGCACTTAAATTCGAAATTATTTCCCTTTATAGACTATAGTTAAGACAAATTAAATGTAAAATATCTAATTTTTATTTTTAAAAATAGGACCAGTTGGTGGCTTTGCTGCAGCAATTCATCATTTCGAAGGCTAAGAAGACTCACATAGACCTTTTAGCCTCCTATGGTCACCATCTTGTGATTCACTAGCGCTATGAATCGAATCCAGAACGTACCGAATAGAATACAGACCTGAAATTCGTAATGGTTTCTAACCCAAGACATACTGTGGTGGTTAGCGTCAAATATCTAATTGAACACGCTAAATAATATCATTAATTACCCGTAGGGCCCTTCGCACGCATGCAGTAATTACGTAGAAATATGATGAGTTTGACGTCCAACCAAAATCTGCTGTAAATGGCAGTGTTTTCGTAATTGGGTGGGACGCGACGTTTAAGCCAATTACAAGGATCCCAAATCGGGAAGTCTTCTCTTCACCAAATAACGTCTCCAAAATTCCAAATAGGAAAACTTTGCAAGTCAAAAATTGGGGGCTCCAGAATTACCCGCAAACATTGCATATTTCCTCGAAATTTCTCAAAAATAAATAAATCATACCATTAAAACAAAACTTTATATTACATTTGACCACCCATTGACCACCTTTCAATGCCACGCGTCTATTCTAAAAATTCTGCTCTATATATCTTCTACTCTTTGTATTCTTCCATTAATTTTGTCTCACTTCATCATTGTTCTTGTTCTTCATGTAACAATCGGAAGAACAAAACTCCTTGCACTTCAAAAAATTTCAGAACGTTTAGATTTTAATTTGAGGTGAAACGATAGCGGTTTTTTTTTTTTCAGTGGCCTTCACAATTGAAGATTCATTCAAGGGCAAACCCAGAAACCTTCTCGATGCATTCTTTAGTTCTTCATCCAAACAGGTAACTTCATATTTCTTTTTTTTCTTTTTTTGTGAAATAGTAATTAACATTTTTTGTGTTCAAATTAATTAACTAGGTATTTTGTTAATTATTATCATTCATTGCTTTACATTATTTTGGATTCTTTAAATGAATGGTTACACTATTTTAGAACTTATATTACTGCTCTGCTAGGATTTTACATCAAACAGTCCATATAAATTACTTTTGAGAGAGTGAATAATAATCCTCATCCTGTAATTAGGAAGAAACTTTGGGTACGTGGAATCATATTCAAGACATTGATTTTGGAGTAGTAATATATGCTTTTAAAAATAGTAATTAAAGCATCATAAAAGAACTAAAGTTAGACATTGGATTAATTTTAAATTTTTATGGATTATTTTAATTATGGCAATAACAACTAGCTGTCTATAAAAAAAATTACGAATACGCATAATTAAAGGGTTATGAATATTTTTATGCTTGATTAATTAAGAAACTGAAAAATTCTACAAGCTAGATGCTCCCAGAAAATATATAATAGTTATAAAAGAAACAAAAGGTTAAGGTTCATCCTCTGTGTTCACAACGACACAACGTTATAGACTAGAGTTCTCCTTTCTAGTTAGTCTGAATTAGGTCACATCATTTTTATGTTGATCAACTTTGCGTATATTAATTTTAGAAAGAAGAACAACTTATATGAAACAAGTATATTATTATGCTTGCGGAATGTACTAAAGATAGAATGTCCAATAAAGAGCAATTTTCAAGAACACGAAATTATAGAGAACCGCACACAAACAAAAGATGTGAATGGAAAGCAGAGATGAGAAATTGGAAAGTCATAAATGCTAAAGTGACTCTCAAAAGTAAGACTCTTTACGAACTTTCTGTCACCTTATGTTTTCGGCACGAAAATTGACGTTAAATTGTAAGGTGACTGAGATCCCATGAACAGTTATACTTACAAAGAGTCTCCCTTGCATTTCTCAAAAAAAAGAAAAAGGATTATCAACGTCATAGCAATTATGACTAAATATTGCCGTAACTGTAGGTGTTGATTTTTGAAATCGTAATGCTACACAGTTCGAATTCCATCTAACAAAGAGAATGTTGACCAAACTAATGGACATTGCCAGTTTGCCACATTAGAAAGAAAGTTAAAGAGTTCCATTTTCTTTATAAAAGAAAATTACAAAGAGAAGGACTGAGTATCAAAAGACAGAGAGAACATCCAAGTACATGAGAATTTGAGGATCTATGACCAATCTTAGCAACATCAAAAGTAATATTGTTATGGTCTGACAACTTCCCCATTTGTTATTTACGGGTAAAAACATTTAAAATTATTTAAGCGCACAAAACTATTCATGTCGTTCGATACTAAGTTACACATCCTAATAGTGATGGATGATCGATCAGTATCTTGTTTAGTAACATTAGTTTGTTGTTGTGTTTAAGTAGCGTCACTAAAACATCAAAGGATAACCAACATAAAAGTTGACAAAACTTAATTAGCCAATGACTGTTAGTCTTAGATTTATTGCGCCACAAGAATGGATTGGTAGTTTACAGTGTTCATACAAATTAATGAGAATTTACATTATACACGAGTCTGTGAAACGCAGGCAAATGACTAAAACTAACATGTTTCTAGTAACAAATGGTTTGACATGTGCACAATTAAGAGTTGTTAAGTTAGACACGAATGGTTGAGATTCATAGTGAGGATAGGATAACAAAGTTCATAAAATTGTTCATAACCTTCTCAACCTAAACTCCAACTACGCAATAGCGTACCCGGATGAACAGTGGCATCAACGGCTCCGAGTAGGTTCATATTAATCCAACGGATATTTGGTATATGGTCATTGGTGACAAAGGAGAATCCGATGTGACTTGAGAGTTGAGCCTTTTTTTTTGTTTTGGGTACAAAGAGAGTTGAGCCTTTGACGTAGCTTACAGGGTCTGGTTAAGTCGAACCCTCCCACAACCTCACCATCTTTTCTTTTTACCAAAAAAAATTTAAAATCGAGTAACTTTTGAGTATGATACATTTTTACTGTGATACTTTATGCTTGTTATACAGTAATATATAAGTTTTTTTTCTCATATAATATTATATTATTAACACAAGACGGTATGTGATAGTGTGTAGTGTCATATCCTAGGGCTCAATCGAAGAATCCTTTTTAAAATTCATATATATGTTCTTTTAGCTAATTTCTAAGAGAAATACTAAGGAGGGTTTTTCAATGTGAAACTTTCTATGAATTATATAACACATTACAGCAACGTTAATTATTGTGCTGATTTATCAAATATTATATAAAAAAATTGAGGTGATAGATAATTCATCGAACGTGTCACTTTTGAAAAATTCTCATAGCATTTCTCAATTATCTTCTTGTTTCGGTTTTCCTGCCGAACTTCTTGTTTCGGTATTTCTGCCGAAAACAACCCCCACCACCCACCATCTCACGCCAATGACTTTTGCATTAAAAGCTGTAAAAGGTCAACTCTACCACACTGTCTCCCAATTAACCTTAATTCCCTCTTCAGTCAGCAATCCAACGGCTATTCTTAGCCTTTTGACGTTATCACTCTCTCTCTCTCTTATCATTTATACACGGTCTTCCAGCAGTTCAGTGACCCTGCCAGAGCTGTGCCACGTGGAAACACATCACTGGCCTCTGCCTTTGACGGCAGACGAAACAGAATATAAAGAGCAAGAGAAAGAGAGGGCCAATGCTCTGTTTTCTTTCTCATGAGGCAGGGCGTCTTGTGTTTGACTCGAATCATCCTTTTACCCTTTTCCTCTGTTTTCTTCCGCCTTTTATTTTCCATTTTTCTTCCGCCGTTGTATTAATCTTCAAGCAACGATCTCTATAAGTTTAAACAACCCCAAAAGTTCAAACAGCCCGTCGTTTTTTGGTTTCTCGACCGACTCATATGCCGTGTCGAGGGCTGTAAATGGCCCTGGAACTAATGATGGGATTGATTGACAGTTTTGCAGCGAAGGGGGAGGAGAATGCCGTGAAGGAGGCGGCCTCCGCCGGAATCCAGAGCGTCGAGAAGTTTATCAGCTTGATTTCGCAACACCACCACCAGTCCTTGTCGTCGAACACGGAAGATGCAACGGAGTATAAAGCGGTGGCGGACATGGCAGTGACCAAGTTCAGGAAGGTCATTTCGTTGTTGGACAAAGGAAGAACCGGCCACGCCCGGTTCCGGAAAGCTCCGGTAACCCAAATTCCGACACCTTCAATTTCAGAACCCCATGATCAAGAAACAGAGCAACCTTCTGTTTTCAGAACAGAACAATCTTCTGCTTTCAAGGTTTACTGTCCGACGCCGGTGGTTTACCTTCCGCCGCTGCCGCAAAATCCTCATCCAAAAACCACTCCGGTTATGCTGACAAAAGGTATTGGGTGCGCTGAGAGAAAGATGGATTCTGCCGCTGCTGCTACCATCAGTTTCTCGCCTTCGGCACCCAAAACTGCCGCGAACTCGTTCATTTCTTCTTTAACAGCTGGGGACGCTGCTGAGCAATCGATCTCTTCTGGGTTTCAATTCACAAACATGTCGCAGTCGTCTTCCGGTAGGCCGCCGCTGTCTTCGTCGTCGTTGAAGAGGAAGTGCAGCTCCGTCGACAATGTTTCTCGTCTCCGGTGCGGCTCTACTACGGGGCGTTGCCACTGTTCGAAGACAAGGTTGGTGTTCATCAATTATCATGATTTTTCAATTTTTGTTCAGATGTTCGGTGCGGGTTTTTTTTCTTCAAAATTTTGTATTTTTAATTACTTGAATTGGTTAATTGGATTGAGCAGGAAACTTAAAGTGAAAAGAGTTATTAGGGTTCCTGCAATTAGTATGAAATTGGCTGATATTCCACCTGATGATTATTCTTGGAGAAAGTACGGTCAAAAACCCATCAAGGGTTCCCCTTATCCAAGGTATTATTTCTTTCCTTCATTCATTACTTCATTTTCTTTTTATTGAATGATTGTTTGATCGTACATAAAGGCATCTTTAATCAACTATTATTAGAGACACTGAAACTTTAACGTAATTGAGATACATTGCTGAGTTTAACGGTCAATCACTTTTAAATTATTTTTAAATCCAAAACCATTATAAACACGACCCATACTGATACGGAATACCATTGTAGCGTAGAAAGTTTTCGTTGCGTCTGTTCCGAGCACACTTAAAAATGTATGTTGGACGTGAGCATTGTTTTATGCCTTCTGAGTCAATCAATTCAGTAACGTAGCCACATTGCTTTCTGAATGTCTGGTCGCTTTTTTGTCCGAATGCAGAGGGTATTACAAGTGTAGCAGCGAGAGAGGTTGCCTTGCACGCAAGCACGTGGAGCGCGCTGTAGACGATCCCACCATGCTGATCGTGACCTACGAAGGCGATCACAATCACTCCCTCTGCGTTACCGATCCAACGGCCACCCTTATCCTCGAATCGTCTTGAAAGTCAACTCATCCAACGGCCCGAGATGTTCTTCTTTTATTAAGAAAAATTCGAATTAAAAGAAGAACAAGGAATACCATGATTTGTGCTGCAAATTAGTCAACGATCATGCTTTGCACCGTCTCCTAGAGGATTAGTGGGAACGCCAATATAAAATTAGATTCGTCTTTTTCCTTTGTATTTTAATTTTTTATTAATTTTTTGGGTTTTCTTGTTAAGAATTTTAATATAGAAATGAAAAGAGATAATAGGATTAGGTTTAGAGATGATGGATTTGGTGTTAAGTCAATCATGCTAACTAGTGGGTTTTGTTTGTTTTTATTTTTATTTAATTATGTTCCTGTATACTTGTTATTGGTGTTATTTAATTAATATATGATGGTGGATTTTGATTAGGATGCCACTTTTAATTGTTCCAATTCCCACTAATATCTTTTCATTAACTTTATCTTTATTTATTTATTTTTTTTTTGTGATATTGAGAGTCAGCCAATGCATGGGCATTTTATAAGTTTTGCATTTGTTTATATGGAGGAGTGATGGTGGGACTTAGACAAGTTTGAGTCCTAATTTAGTACTGGTGAGGGAGCTAGGGAGCGAAAGGACTTTGAGCCTCGTATGGTATGGAGGACTAATTTGGATTGTGACGCGTTTATCAAACGGGATAAAAGTGAAATGCAATGAAATCGTACATCTTTTAAAGTATTTCAGCATTTACTAATATTTGGGAAATTAAAAAAGGGAATGGGTAGAGTCCACTTAATATCAGTATTCGAATTCCTAATTTACTTGGAATTGAGTACCTAAATGGAGGTGAACTTTTCACGAGACGCAGAATTAATGGCGAGAGGAGTGATAAGTTGTTTAATTTCAAAGCAAGCTTAATTCCAACACTAATTGTTCAATTAAGAGTTAACTTTGCACGCATTGGAAGTCTTTCCAGTTCCAAATGTGGAGAGATGAGTGATACGTTTCATGCTATGATTGGGTGGCACAGGACTTTGCAAGGATTTTTAAGGCGGCGGGAGGAATGGGGAATTTTCCTTGTGAATCAAGTTGGAAGCAGAGGGTGTACGAGCAACCTTGCTTGCTTGCTTCGATAGAGGGTTTGATGTGATTCAAGTGGAAACGGATTCTAAGGAGCTTGTGGATATGATCAATGAAACAACAGAACTAAACGTTGTTATTTAAAGTCTTCTCTTTGACATTAAGTGTGTGCAAATGCAATTGATGTCAATATAGTTTATTTTTGGTCCTCGCAGTTGTAATAGGGCAGCACATCTAGTGACTTAGTTTGTCTCGTATAGGTGGTGTTCATACATGGGATGCTTTTGAACCAAAGTGGTTGTTGTTCAATACTCTGGCTTTCGATGTAAACATTGCACTTCGAGTTTAATAATACTTATCTTTCGAAAAAAAAAGGTATGCATGACATCTTCAATTATGCATGAGAAATCCCTTTAAATTAGGAGATATTTTTTAGTGTTTTCAAAACACAAAGTTATGCACCACGTGATATAATACAACTGAAACGACACTGAAAAATATAATTATCTACTTATTATGACACACAGTATTCTGAATGCATGAAAAAATCTCTCATAAACTAGGTTGTTGAAGATTCAAACCAATCCGGGTAAACAGACATATTCAATCCCATTTAATTGTTTGGATGGTGAATTGGATTCCATCACTAAATCCAAAACTGAGATTATTAGTCCTCTTCATCAGTTACATGGCATATTTTCTCCTCTCTTTATTTCCCTCTTTTGGGTTTTTGGTCATGCAAAATTTCTGCTGCACGGCCCAGAAGAAGCCCAGAAAAATACTGGTCCATGTTTCAAATAACATTGGGCTTAGTTATTAATGATCCAAGTCCAAACCTAGACAAACTTTTTCATCTTAAAAATGGGATCAGTCGGTGGCTTCGTCACGGTAGTCCAACCTTTTAAGGGTTGAGAAGACTCACATAAGCATTTCAACATATCTTTGGCCACCATCGTATGATTCACTAGCGTCAAAAATCGAACCCAAAATGTGCAATGTAGAATAAGGGCCTAGAATTCATCTCCACGATGAGTAACGCATGATGACAATTGACACATCACATAATTCACAAATTTGATATAAAAAATTAGTCTCCTTAAGATTACTCAGTGAATAAATAAACAAATTGGTGTCCATTTTCATCCAGAATTCAGAGTTTCAATATTATTGACATAATGAAGCATTAGCCCCCACCAAAGGTAATGGATGTCGGTAGGTCAATGGATTTATAAACCCGCTGCTGCCCCTCAAGATCCACAAAAAGTATCGGTTGAAACTGAGAATTCACACCACCCTGCCTCGCTCGTCAAGTGACGTACAATCTACAAGAAAATAACGAAAGAAACAAAACCCAGCTGTACATTTAGATTTAAACATTTAACAACGAACACGGTGGAGGTCCAGCAACATTGACTTCTCAAGCATCTGCTTTGGCATTATTCTGTATCTTTTTGACGGCAGTGGACTGAGGGTCCGGGAAGATCTTGCCATGTTTACTGGTCTGATCGAAACTTTAAGATGAAGTCTCTGCAGAGTTAATTAAAATAATTTCCATGGGACTCTTATATTTTGATTTCTCAACTCTTTTCATTTTAAATGTGTGAAATTAATTCAATATAAAAGTATGACACTTGGAAAGAAAGTCTCTAAAGTGTTGAATTAGTGCTTCATTGAGCCACCCAATCATGAATCATCCACTTATTTTTTGGATATTTTTTTTTTCAATTTAAATTAAATTATGAGTTACGAAAAAAATCAGTAATTACGGTTTAGTAAAAAAAGAAAAAAAATTATGAATTATGAAAAAGTGTGTATAATTTGGCATTAAAACCCCATCAGCGAGTGTCTTGTTCGATTTGGTCTAGCATAAGAAAATCATAGCCTTTTCTTATCTCTGTGGAAAGAATGAGAAGCTCTGATTCCACCAAAGCTCTAGTTTCATTCTCAACCTTCTTTTTTCTTCTATCCTATCTTTGTATTCCTAGTTGTGTAGCAGTAGCATTCTCGTTGCATGAAAATTCTTCTCCCGTAACAAACTATTCCAACAGACAAACCCTCGAGTTCGATTTAGGTGGCCACCGCAGAAGAGGCAGCGGACACAGAAGCCACCAAAAGCACAAAACCCCACCAGCAGCACCACCACCACCACCGGTACCACCACCACAAGTACCACTACGGCCGCCACAAGCACCTCCTCCTACAAAATTGCCAGACAACCAACTTGTATTTGCAGACCAAAGGCTCAAAATAGTCTACCCAATTATCCAAAACTTCAAGTCCCTTATCACCTCAGATCCACTAAACATCACAAAAACGTGGGTGGGATCCAACATATGCAGTTACAAAGGCTTCTACTGTGACAGCCCTCCAAACAACAGCTCCGCCATTGCCCTCGCCTCGATCGACTTCAACGGATTCCAACTAGGGGCCCCTTCTCTCGACGGATTTCTCGACCAGCTCCCGGACATTGCCCTCTTCCATGCAAACTCCAACAATTTTTCCGGCACTGTCTCCCCCGCCATTGCCAACCTCCCCTACCTCTACGAACTCGACATAAGCAACAACCAATTCTCCGGGGCGTTTCCCTCCGCCGTTCTCGGCATGAACACCCTAGGTTTCTTGGACATAAGGTTCAATTTCTTCACTGGGGCAGTCCCACCGGAGATTTTCACTCAAGAACTTGACGCCCTATTCCTAAACAACAACAATTTCATGCAGAATCTTCCCGACAATCTCGGCAGCTCTCATATTCTCCTCCTCACCTTAGCAAACAACAAATTCACGGGCTCGATTCCATCGGGCATTTCAAAAGCTTTCGCTGCTCTGACTGAGGTTCTGCTACTGAACAACCAGCTCACAGGATGCTTGCCTTACGAAATAGGGTTGCTAAAACAGGCCTTAGTTTTAGATGTCGGAAACAACCAGTTAACCGGGCCGTTACCGTTTTCACTGGCGTGCCTCGAAAACGTGGAGCAGCTGAATTTTGCGGGTAACTTGTTGCATGGCATGGTACCTGAGGTGGTGTGTCATGAGCTGCAAAGCTTGGAGAACTTTTCGCTGTCCGATAATTACTTCACAAATGTTGGTCCGATTTGTAGAAGCTTGATCGGGAAAGGAGTGCTCGATGTTACGAACAACTGCGTTCCCGATCTTCCGTTTCAGAGACCGGTGGAGGAATGTGCGGATTTCTTTGCGCACCCAAGGTTTTGTCCCTTCATGTGGACTTATACTTACATTCCATGTAAGCCTCCTGGTTTTGGTTCTTTGTTTCCTCCATTGCCTCCTCCACCGTGACGTAGTAAATTTGTTCATCTTCTCCAAGGCTTGTGGGTGTAAAAATTTCAATGTAAACATGGTGATTCATTCTTTTCACTTATTTCAGTGTAACATAATGCATGGTACATTTAATATGAGAATTATTGAGATGTTTCCTTGATGATTTTGTAATTATAAGAAATCAGTGATTCGGGCTTTTAGCTTAGTTGGTCATCACTAGAGGATTCCAGTTTGAATCCACCCTTCCTCAATATTGTTTGTATCATTAAGAAACCAACGATTGTTGTAGCTTTTCTTTTTAATTTTTATTGGATGAAAGGATAGGACAAGACAAGACACTTATCTGCATAGGATATCCATTATTTATTAAATGGCGTAATCTCAATTATTTGTGGATAATAACATTTCAATAGCAAAATATCCAAGTGTGACATTATTGATACAAAACAATCATTTGTTAAAGGATGGAGGTCCTTCAGAGAGCATTTCTATATAACCCACTTTGTCGCTGCAAGAAAAGTGATTATTAGGTGTGGTCAACTAGGGGCAAATGGAAGAATTCGCCTCTATTAATAAGATATTAGATGCATAAATAGTATTTGCCCCTATTAGTTCTATTAGGGGCGTTTAAATCAGCCCTTAATATGGGAACAATTTACAGCTGTTAATTTTAATAACTACAAGGGGAAACAACCGTCCTTATTGTCAATAAGATTTAATTATTTAATACCCTCATCCTAATACCTTATCAATCGCCACTTTCTCTAACTGTTTATTTTTTGTTTTATTTTAATTTCTATCGTTTAAATGTATCAGCACCTAACCCTAGGTCGGATATGCATTATCTCTTCCTATATTAATTGTTTTTCTCTCTTGTGCTGTTTATTCACTCTATCAAGTATCAATAGCTTTCTCTCTTCTCCTTCTCTTTGTTCTTTCCCTTCATTTTTCGTTCTCCCTTTTTCTTTATTTCTTAATGCTTGTCATTGGTGGATTGAAATCAAGATAAAGAGATCATTACGGATTGAGAAAGTTTAAAACTTCGATTGATTTCTAAAGTTTATTATTCTTTCTTTTCTCTTGTTCTGCAACATTCATACAAGTATTAATTTTCATTATTTTTCTTTACCCAGTTATTTTGTGCGATTACGTTATGAACTTGTTTGGGTCCAAAATATTGATGTGGGCCGAGCTAGGAGTTATTCTCGGCCCGACAAGATGTTTCTAGAATCATCGCGAATTTTAGTTATTATGGGTCGCTTGGTTAAGTTCGGCCGAGTCGTAGTATGAGGCGGATTGATGGGTAAGTCGAATTGTAGTATAACAAGAAGTCTCAATGGGATGAGGATGCTGAGATTTGAGAAGTGAATGTGACCGGATAAAGTGGTTGGTTCAAAGCCCTAATGGAGGCAGGATTGGCCGAGATCTGGTTGGATTAGGTTAAGGAATCCTAACCCGAGTATAGTTTTGGTTCGGCCATGATAAGATTGGCTGCTATAAATAAGAAGGGGGTGCATCATTCTAGCCCCTCCAACTCAACACATAAACTGCCATGTGCAAACTATCGCTCTACACGAAACCTCTCAACAACCTTGAGATTTTTATTTTCTTTTTCGCCAACACATCTTCAATTTGGATAAACAACGCTGTTGTCGTAGACTCAACCCATCGCGGAGCACCTTCAGATTGGATAAACAGCACTGCTTCGAGGCCGACTAATTATCTATCCAAGTCTCGGTCGAGAATGATTTTCAAATCCTTATTGGCAGAGGTCATCTCACTAGCCTTATCAGCGAAGTGAGGTGTTACAGATTACTGGGCTTGGCGCATTGAATGCCGAGTTGTTTTATAATTAGATATTCACAAGTAAGTTTTAGAGTTCGGCATTCTGATGGTCGAACCACATTCACCATCAAGACATACATCTTTTTTGAGTACTTGTGTCCGTATAGTTTGGTGTCAGTTCGGCGTGCTTATACTCTTACGAATATAATCCCCATGATTGAACCCGACACCGACGATCCGTGAACTTCGCAAGACTAGCAGCCTTGTCTTCAGGCTCTAGAACCCGAAGGCCGAGACATGTTCCTTCATAAGCCGCAGTTGCAAGATCAAGAAGTTAGCAGTGCGCTCAACGCAACATCAATAAATTTTACTCCCTGGCCAAGCTTGGTCATCAAGTTGGCATGCCCCGTACATAACTGAAGGATGTAGTTAGCTTATTAATTATTCGGCTTGCGCACCACGTAGGCTTGGTAGTTTTTAGGATCAGCAGAAGTTACAGAACCCAACTTGTCTCTATTTGAGTTTGAGCTTTCTCTTTTGTTTTTATATGTTCTGTAGGTTTTGTTTTGTATTCGATTTGGAAAGGAAGGCAGTATTCGAGTACGTATTTTTATTTTAGGGAAAATTTGTAACAATTATTATGATCTTGTGTTTTGTGTTTACAGGGAAGATGGAACACATACTTTTCATATGCATCAAGGGGAGATTGAAGACAGACTTTTAATCATACTATGTGTTTGAATCAAGGGATTAAGTCTTTGATTAGATTTAGATTTGGAGAGAACATTTAGAGAACCTTATGTACTGAGGTGGATTTGTATGTATTCATTGTACTCCAATCATGTAACATTTGTATCTAATAAATTGAAGAATGTAACTTTAATATTAATTTGTTGGCAATAGTTCTTGTTTCTTCATTTGGGTTGGTGATAAGATTAGTTTTGAATAATAATTTTCGAAGAACTGAAAAGAATTATAAATATACTTGACTTTGAAAATGTGAGAATACGTATCAAATAATTAATGGTGGAATGGAAATCGTTTCTCAATTAAAGCAATTTCCAAAATGCAATATGACAAATAAAAATGCGTTGTTATTAATAATCGCCCCTAAAGCTTTCAACATTTGCACCTAATTTTTTTTCCACGCCACACTTGCCTACATAGCATAATAACTATTAGGGGTAGAAATATGTACCCTTTCGTCTCTATTTATCAATAGCAACGTCTTTTTTAGGTGCAAATTTAATATCCACCCCTTCTTACTATTAGGTGAAGAAATCTTCATTTTTTGCCCCTATTTTTAACTAATAGATGCAAATGTTCTAGCCTCTACTTGTTCTAAGTTTTGTAGTGTGTGCGGTTTTAAAGATCGGAGCATAGTATGCACCGTTGGATCCTTAGCCATTAAATCCTTGACCACACATCTAGCCGTTCATTCATCTAGTCCATTCAGAATTTTCACACTTTGTGACAAGTTAAAAATCGAAGTTAGTGGGGAAGGACAAACGCAAAAGAAGAGAAAGGTGCTTGCTTTATCAAAAACTAAGGTATGGTCCCAAAAAATTGTCCACAGAGAAAGAAAAGGGTGCTTTGCCTCTGTTACAATCGTAGAAGAACCTGCAAATTTAAGTCTTGAAGGCCTTTTGGCAATGTCACTTTCTAGGGACACCTTTTTCATGAGCCAAGTGCTTGGTAGGTAGGAAATGTCCCCTGTGCCCTAGTTGAGTGAGTGAGGTAAGGCAGACGGTTAGATGAACTCACCACCAATTATATATATATTGGAATTTAAAATTTGGTAACTTTTGTAAGTATCTATCGTTAAATTACTATTTATCTGTTAATGGAGACTTGGAGAGCTGCACTGGATGCAGCAAGTGGGAAGCAAAAGAAGTGTACCAAGTGGAACTAGCCACTAAACATCTACTGTTTGATTTGGCTGTCCCAGTTATTCAAATCTCTCCTGCTTTTAGACGGCCATGGAGGCCTTGGGACATGATCTCAACTACCCGGCTCGTTGTACACTTTGGTGTATGCTTGCCGTCGAGTTTTACTTATAAAAAACAAATGGTTACAAGATGACGGATGGAATGATGCAAATTTGGAAGTGGTTGGAAACCAATATGGAACTGAGAATCTCTTTTTATTATCAATGGGGAGGGGCACTACTCAAAAAAGTCGTGGGGGATAAGGATGGAAAATACTCAAATGTTGCTTGGTTTACAGGGGGCGGTGGCAGTGGCACGGCACTTCAAAGCTCCACACCAAAATCCTAATATTTTACAATTCAGTATTTATTCACATGTTAAAAAATAAAATACAAAATGCTGAATCAGAGCAAATAGTAATCAAAAAGGGCTTTCACGAGCGCAAAAACGTGTGTAAGAAGACTTGCAACAATTAGGTTTAGGTGTTATTTTTCTTCTTAACAGCGTTTAAGTGGTTTTTCATTGTGAAAGAGAGTTTTGAGAGGAAATTTTGTGAGGAATCCTTTTTTTTTTTTTACAATAGTGGAAATTTTTTGATGGTACCTACTACTTTGGGTTGAGTAACCAATGATCATTTGGTCCATAGACATTAGCCTGATTATTATTAGAGGTGCTTTAGTTCAAAACTTATGTACACAATTGTTGAATTTAGACTACGTTTGGATGACAAATTTGCAAGTACCAAGAGATTTAGATATGTAATTAGAATTGACTATAGATGACTTCAATTTTTTTTTAACAAATTAATGATATTATCTATACTAAAGGGGAGAGCAGTGGGTTAAGCCTCACAATGTGCCAATAATAATGTAATTCAAATTCACCTTTGGCGAAAATCGAACATAATACATCTTACTTACAAGTGAAGAAGAAAACCACTAGACTGTACTATAATACTAAGTGGCTACAAATGATTTATTCTAAGTAGTCATTTTATAAATCTCTCTAAATGCATTGCATCCACTCATTTCTTAATCCCTACCTCTAATCTTTTGTAGTTCATTTTTAATTATATTTAGCATAAGTTTGTTGGTAATGGCAAATCGCCCGTTCAAATGAAACAGAGAAAAGATGTATAGTCTGGAAAGGAAGCCCAACACGACTAGTCCATCACTTGTGGTAATTAGGCCCAAATAATCGTGATTCTAAACTTGGGCCGACACATCCAACGTAGCATCTGGGCCTATTTACGAAGGCATTGGGCCCCCTTGTAAAGAAGAAAGAAATACGACTACTAAGGTGTCCCGCAAAATCGAAGCAAAATGCTTCCTCCTTGTAATTCACGGACAATGCTATTCAATCACATGACATTGATTTCACTTTCTTTTTAAGGACACTACTAGACTAGACTCATGGGGTCCGTGTATAAACAATATCCATTTTGTTTTGTTTTGTTTTCTTCGGAGGTGGATTGTTTGCCCTCCCATTTCCA